CCCAGATGTCCACTACATGAGAGTTATGGCTACCTTCGGTGAAATCATGACAGCCACTCCCTTAGTATGATCATGATTGTCATCTGGGTGACAGGAATAGATTGCTGTTAACAATTCGGAGTATAAATCCATTCTACCAGCCCTCACAAATTCCGAGCACTTTCATGCTGTATCCTCTCATCTGTTTTGTAGCCTTCCCAGCTTCAAGCATTGTGAGGAAATTCCATCTGCCCACCCTTGTTCCCGCTTTCATCAAAACATACGAGACGAGTAAACTCTACTATATCTGTATCCTATTAGATGGTACACTGGAGAAATCCAGTTTGGTTTTGAGGGGTGGTACTAATTCTTTACTTTCAATCCTTTGTTATTGGTTGTGTTAAAATTTACACTACTTAATAATAGTAAGTAGCATGAGTTTGTTGTGTTTACAGTCTCGTTATTCCGTAACTATAACTGTTTCCCACTGAAATTTATCTCAGCTATCCTTCACCTTACCCAGTGGAACATAGCGCTTCAAGCTAGTGGCTTGAAGTTTCTGTAGCAGTGTTTATTTTACAGGATGGGGTTGCTAGTCTCATACCCAACCTTTCCTCTTTATCAACATTATTTCTGACTTAGCGAGGAAACGGAGTGTGTCGGCCGGGGTTCAAACCCCGGACCATGTGCACGGTCGGCGAGCGTCCTAACCGCTATGCCGCCGACGCACTTAAACGATCTATTCGATATGTAATAATTGTCTTCTTATAGTTGAACGATATCTGTTGTATGTGCTTTATTTATGTTCCACTCTCTGATGAAAGGCTTCCCAGCTCCGAAAATTGTGTGGATATTCCACGTCCCTATGCATAATTTTGCTTTTATCTGTAGGAGACACATTGGCTGTCTGGCTTCCACCAGCCTGCATCATTTCGTCTATCCGATTCCAGTGAAGAATAAATTTTTGATATTTGTTGTATACATTGGAGTTTCGGTAGTCGCACGCCTAACATTCCCTCTTTTTCTGAGCATTGTACTGGTTAGTAGATTGATGAATTAGTAAATTAGGAAGGTTATAGTTTAGGATGCCAAGTAACTTACGGAATCCTTCGAAGTAAAGACGGGAGTAAGACAAGGCTGTCTACTATAGCCAATGATTTTCCTGATTGCGGTAGATTGGATAATGTGACAGACGGTGGGCAGCGAGAAAACAGGCATAAAACGGACTCACACAAAAAACTTGGAGGATCTAGACTTCGCCGATGATATATGTCTGATTTCCCACAAACTGGAAGATATCCAAGTGAAAAGCGACAAGCTGGCAGAAGAAGCATCAAAGGTAGGACTCCAAATAAACATACAGAAAACAGAGGTGATGAAGATTCCTGTCCAACAACAACAATCAGCATAGATGGGAGGAACCTGAAAGAAACAACCTCCTTCACCTACCTACCTGGGAAGCATCCTCTCAACTACAGGCGGACAGAACTGATGAGGATATCAAAGCAAGGATCGAGAAAGCAAGACAAGCTTTCATTACTCTTAAGTCTGTGTGAAGGTCAACAGCACTCCGCATGAAAAATGAGATCCGGATTTTCAACTCCAATGTGAAGTCAGTGCTACTATACGGATCAGAGTCTTGGCGCGTCATACAGAGTACCCCTAACAAACTACAGACCTTCATTAACAGCTGCCTTTGCTCAATACTCAAGATCAGATGGCCAGAAAGGATCAGCAACAGGGGTCTCTGGGAGCGAACCAACCAGGAACCAACTGTGCGACAAATAAGCAGGAACGAATGGAGGTGGATTGGCCATACTCTGAGGAAACCATCAAGTGACATCACTAAACAAGCCCTCGAGTGGAACCCGAAAGGGAAGCGGCGAGTTGGTCGTCCAAGGGTGACTTAGAGGAGGTCATGTGAAGAGGAGATGAAAGCATGTGGGCAGACCTGGAGGCAGGTGAAAACTTTAACAGAGAACCGAACGCAATGGAGACGTGCATCTGAAGCCCCATGTTCCTCTAGGAATTAACGGAAATAACAATAATAGTTTATGATGCTTCTGATTAGTTCAAAATGCTTCCACCACCACCAATAACCTTGAATTAAAGCTATGTGGTGAAATAAGTGATAAAAAGTCAGTAACACTGATTTTGCCACTGGACAATTAATAAATCTTTGGCAGTGAATGATGGCGGACTTTTATTCATATTAGGTGCATTTGGACTTTCTATCTGACCTACTAACCACTTAAGAATACGTTTTTTCTGATGACACTGGAACATTCTATTGAATCTGCCTACCTATTTATCCACCCAGCTGCAGGTGAACTTATAAGTACAGTCCATAGCGTTTCGTCTTTTAATCTTAAGCAAAGGGAATTAAAATATTCGAGAGGAGAGCAAGATCAATGTGTGCTTGATAGCTAACCGTAGCCTTTGAAGTGTCAGTTGCATGAGCTGATTACTTTGAATAATTGCTACTGTCAGTATTATTGTTAATTAATAACACTATATTCCACATACAGGATTTATGTCAATACTTTCTGTATTTCTATTAGCTTTTATCCATTTGGATTAATCAGCCATTTTTCACACTTACTAGGTAATTCTATCTTCCGTCTTTTTCTGTAATTTTCACTTAGTCGCACCCTTCTTTTGTTTATGATTTAGGATGGGAGTTCTCTCCCTGACTGACTGATTGTCAGAAATTCTGTTATTATTAAATTATTGTAAGGAAACTACGAAATGATATAATCTCGCAATACTAGTCTCCTGAATGCCTTATTTAAATTTATCACATGGAGCAAATGTTAATATATACAACTGCTTCAAGTTGTTTCAAAGTCATCCATTTTTATATATTTACCTTGCATACATATAGCTGTTTTTACTTCGATGGGATAACAGGTATTTGATCTGTTAGAGATTTGGTCACGAGCTGGACCACCGGAAAATCAGGGAGTCCTGAACAGCTGTTTCAGCCTAATTCTAGATTCCCCAACAGTATGCACCCACAAGCGTTCGAGCCCAGAACCTTCCGGTTACAAACTGAGCTCATAGCCACTGAGACCCAACTCAAAGGCCCATGAATTTCAACTTCTTCCAGTTCTCGATATATATCGCTACCACAAACCAATGTCATTACCTCTATATTGGAATACTCAAAATATCAGTAAATTTCTTGTTAGGGATAGCTACTATGACAGAAACGGAAGGAAATTGCTAATTTATTCAGAGGAGTAGCAAATATCAAGGTAGAAGAAAATTTTGTTTAAACTACTGGGTTGCTTAAATATCCATCCGGCATAATAATATCTACTTTCCTCCGTTTCTTGTTATTTTAATCTCCCAATTATGTCCTTGGAAAGTATTTAGAGCTCATGTAAATTTTTGATTTCCTTCTAACCTATTAGTGTGCACTTCGAGAAGGCAATAAAGGGAAAATGTCATAGAGGATTGAGTCTTATTTCTTGTGGAACAACATTATATCAGACGATATACTGCCGATGAATATTTACTTGAAGATTCCATGTGGCGAGTAAATTCTTTCTAAGAAATCACGCTGAGACTTCAGTACTGTGTTTAGACACAATTTTCAGAATAAAGCCAATATCATTACTAAAAGACGTATAAATATGGATTGTATACCCTGCATCTACACTTTTTTTTCTCAGTGGAAGAGGTGGATTATCCATTTCCACTGTCGAAAGGTTCAACAGATTCAATCTGTTCCTGAAGTCAATTAAAGTATGCTCTGAAAACCGGAGGTTGATGAGTCCTGCCTATACATGTGTGACGACACGTACATATAAAGCGACAGATATAACGGGATATAGAAACACTTTTTGCATGTTATAAGGCCTTAGTCGTAGTCAAACATCTAGTGATACCGAAACAGACTTTGTAGAAAAGGGTGCAAAACAAAATAAAATTATCAGACAAATAAAACATTACGCAACACGATGAGACAAGTTGGATAGAATGGTGTTTAATGCCCACTGGAGACTGGCCCTATTCAAGCAGTGACCTGGGTTCTAGTGGGAGGCCGTGAGCACTAGGGTACAGCAGATTTAAGGTGAGTAACTCATCTAAGAAGACATTGCAAAGTGGTCACGCTTCGTCATGAATTGGCAGGAGTTAGAATTCATGGGCCATCGGGTCGTGTCTCAGTGGCTTAACGGTCTACGAGCTCACCTTTTAACCAGAAGGTCCTGGGTTCGCACCCCGGTGGGTGCGTCCTGTGAAGAGTCCCAAACTAGGACGAAACAGCTGTCCAGTACTCCATGCGGTTTTTCCAGTGGTTCTCTAACTGATGTCAGCTCATGATAAAATCCTCCAACCAATCAAAGAAATTAAAATTATCAAAATGGGACAAGTGAAATGATATTAAAGGCTTTTAGAAATGTAGGTAGCGCTAAAACAAATAATAGTGACAGCAAAAGCGTAAACAACTAAATTCAACAAGGGAAAAGAAAATTTCAAGAATAAACCGGAAGAAAAATATCTTAGAGGATTAAGTCTTGTTACAGATAGAATGACATTGCATCATACAATATACTGTCAATCAATATTTTACTTGAAGATTCCATAGAAGAAGTAAATATTTTGCAAGAAAAATTACGCTGAGCATTCTGGGTAAAAATAATTTCCGAAAGAAAGCTGATATTATTATCATTACTATTAATTAAAAGTAAAAACAATAATAAAAGTTTTGAAAAAATGTCTGTTATCTGGATTTTAGCTGATGCATCTTTGAAGTTGCGAGTGACCCTGAGTCAGACCAATTTCAGCTGTTTACTAAGGGGTTTTCACTTCCCTATAGATTTATGAACAACAATCCGACAGTCTGTGAATGTATGCACAACGCTTAAGGTCTATATTAGCCAGATACAGGTAGCCAGATGGATTGGCAAAGAGAAAAAGAAAAGGAGGAAGGACACATATAACCCTGGCTGGGAACTGAAAGGCACTGATCGTCGGGGAAAAAAAAAGTGGAATACACAATACGAACAATAAAACTATGCATGATTGTAGTATAAAAGAAGTTTGCAAACTTGTTCATATACTGCAAATCTACAAGATATAGAAACAAAAGATTTAAGTAGGGTAGCTTTCAAGCCTTTGAAAACTGCTGCAGCACCTTCAACTTTCCATATTTCAGCTAAACACTTATACAAACTGCCTTGTATCTTTGGAACCTGGCCAAATTGAGCACGTGCTTCTTCGAAGCCCTGTGGAAAAGGAAAGAAAAGAAAAAATAGACGAAATCTGTTGACTAACAGTACTACGATAGAGGATACACTATCGACGTTCTTCGAGTATTCGAAGTAAAAACAAAAACGCAATAGCAAAAATAAATTGTTTTAATTTTCAAAAGATATCATTAATCGATTTTCGTAGTCACATGGCAGCATTTGGGAAATATGCTATTCAACAGCAGAAACACTGATGTTGTTTTGTCCGACAAAATGCATGTACTCAAATCAAATAATATTTCATTTTGAATGTTAGCAATATCTGAGAATATATAGAAATTTTATTGGTAAAACCTGAGAAAGACACTACCACACAGAGAGCGGACTTTTCCTTTCCTGACGTTCTGAGTAGAACATAGGCTTTCAAACTTTTGAAGTCGTATTGTAACAGAAGAAGGCAAGATATGGAAGCAAAGGTATATTCTACATTGAGTAAACTGCTGTTGATACATATACAGTTTATATTCTTTAACCAATCACTGAGCATGTGATTTTGGTTTACATTAAACGATACGAAACAGAATGTTCAAATACATGTAGTATTCTGTTACCAATGTCGTATTGAACTATGGGAATATGCGAGAATAATATTCCGTTGGGACACATTATCTGTATCACATTACCAGAGTATTAGCGGTTACGTCTTCTTTTTACGGGATACGGTTGCTAGTTTCATGGCCGAACTTCCCGGATTTGCCTTCATCTAGGCAAAATTTAGTTCATCAAACATATATATATATATATATATATATATATTAATAAAAATTAAAATTGGGAATTAGAATGCCATAATAAACAGGAGGATGGATAAAACAAACAAAGTAGCATTATAATAACTAAGAAGACTGACATTGTGCAATTAGGGGTTAGAAATGTAGAAATAACAAAATAGACAGGATGTTTGGATAAAAACTAATGTGATGAATAATTGTTTATGCAATCAGGGATTAAATATGTAGAAATAGTAAAATGACAAAATAAACACTAAGTTCGGGTATGAAAATATGGTAGTGTAAACAGGGATTAAGAAAAACTTGAAATAACATGAATAAACAGAAAGTTTAGATAAGAAAGGAGATGGGATGGTGATTACTAAAAATTACCTGTTTATGATGGCCATGGCAAGGACAGGGGTTGGACGTATTTCTTTTGTATACAAAGCGTGGGTTTGAGCTTTTGTATAGCTAGCGCCTCGTCTATGCCCAGATGTCTTGATTTTACTCCCTTTGATAGGTTTGATCGAATCTTGTAAATGATTTTGAAGGATTTTTCGAGTGGCGCTGAATGTCCTGAATTCACCAGGTGTTCTGTCACCGAACTATTTACCCGTTTTCGTTCTCCTTTTACTAGCCAGGCTGGATAGTGTTCACGAGCGCGTTTTTCAAGTCGGCGCATGGTACGGCCAACGTACTCAGCTCCACAAGAGCAAGTAAACTGGTATATGCACGTTGAGGTGACCCAATGCGACAGCTTGTCTTTCGCGTTCTGGCTGAACAGTTTCTTGCAGGAAAACGTCAGTCGTAGGCTAGCGGCGGTGCATCGAAGTAACAGTTCTTTCAGGTAATGAATTGGTATACCGACATTGATGTTATTGGATTCAATGTAGTCACAAAGGAAACATACGGTTTCTGTCAGTGGAACGTTGGTGAAGAGAGACACGACATCCACGGAGACCATTTTCTTTTCTGCCACATTGACATTCTTAATTGAATCAACAAAGTCGAATGTGTCGCAGAGGTTATGTCTTGACAGCTACTCTTTCACCGGCCCGAGAATCTCCATCAGCCATTTCGGGATTGTATGATATGGGGAATCTATCATATCTAGTATTGGGCGGAGTGGGACGTCTTGTTTGTGTACCTTGGGTAAGCCGTACATACGTGGCGTTGTAGAACCAGATGGGCGCAGTTGTTCGTATAGCTTTGAACTGATAATGGATTCGTCCTTCATTTTCTTCAATATCTTTGTTAGCTGGAGCTCCGTCTGTTCAGTGGGATCTTTCTGTGGAGACTGTTTCTGAAACTTTTTATCATCGGATAGTATCATCGAGAGTTTGCTTAGGTAGTCTGATTTGTTCATCAGGACGATTCCGGAGCCTTTATCTGGTCGCATGATGATCAAGTTTTCATTATCCTTCAGTTCTTTCAGCTCCTTTCGATGTTCTTTTGAAAGGACGTTACGGAGGCTGGGTTTTTTGTTGATATAATCGAGACAGCAATTTAAAACGGTTGATTTGAAAAGTTCTGCATTCTCATATGAGATTGGGACAAGATCTTTCGTCTGGTCGATTAAATTCTCAAATTGCACTTTCGTGATGAGTTCATTCACTTTTGACGTTGCATCACAAAACTTAGGCCCAAGTGCTAAGATTTGCATTTGAATTGGAGATAGTTGAACATCAGAATAATTGTACACGTATTTTTCTGGACAAGTAGGAAAGACGGTTTCTTTTGTAACTGACTTTAGGCTTTGGTTTAGTTTCATTATAACATCATCTGTTCTTTTCTTTGTAACCGTATTGGAGTAGTTTTCGAATGCTGTTCTCTCGTCTTCAGATAACTCATGGAGAACATGGGAGCTTTTTGAGATATTCTGCTCTAGCTCAGGTAGTCTTGATCGCACTGCATCGCAGATGCATCCACTCCCTGTGACTTACGATCTCCAATGAAACTGTTTTGTATTTCTTTATTACTGCTTTGTCTCACACCTCTGCTCACTGTTTCTATTATGCTTTTCTTGTACTTTCTTCTCTTGCTTCGCGTGCTACACGGAATGTGGCGACTTGAACTTCCGCACATTTGTGCAAAGTTCTATGTCGAAAACAGACAGACAGACAGATGTGATTCAGAGTGTGTCGTTTCAGCGTACGTGAGTTAGGGGATATGTGATTTCGTCTGAGATGCTTCCAAAATACTTTGGGATATTCATGTTTCTCGAGACAATTCTTCAAGAAGAAAATCTTTGCGTTCGCCTCAGCAAGCTTGACGGACAAACGTAGAAACTTGTTCAGTTCCCTTACCGTCGAACGGTCCTTGCTCCTCTTCAAATCACGGAATATACACCTTGGGTCATAGGAGTAAATAAGAAAAACACCTACTTCAAATCTTCAATAATGCCCACCCAAACATCGACTTCACACTTGAGACTGAATCCCACGGAATGTTCCACTTCCTCGACGTCCATCTGACAAGAAACAATTAAGAATGTCAATGTGGCAGAAAAGAAAATGGTCTCCGTGGATGTCGTGTCTCTCTTCACCAACGTTCCACTGACAGAAACCGTATGTTTCCTTTGTGACTACATTGAATCCAATAACATCAATGTCGGTATACCAATTCATTACCTGAAAGAACTGTTACTTCGATGCACCGCCGCTAGCCTACGACTGACGTTTTCCTGCAAGAAACTGTTCAGCCAGAACGCGAAAGACAAGCTGTCGCATTGGGTCACCTCAACGTGCATATACCAGTTTACTTGCTCTTGTGGAGCTGAGTACGTTGGCCGTACCATGCGCCGACTTGAAAAACGCGCTCGTGAACACTATCCAGCCTGGCTAGTAAAAGGAGAACGAAAACGGGTAAATAGTTCGGTGACAGAACACCTGGTGAATTCAGGACATTCAGCGCCACTCGAAAAATCCTTCAAAATCATTTACAAGATTCGATCAAACCTATCAAAGGGAGTAAAATCAAGACATCTGGGCATAGACGAGGCGCTAGCTATACAAAAGCTCAAACCCACGCTTTGTATACAAAAGAAATACGTCCAACCCCTGTCCTTGCCATGGCCATCATAAACAGGTAATTTTTAGTAATCACCATCCCATCTCCTTTCTTATCTAAACTTTCTGTTTATTCATGTTATTTCAAGTTTTTCTTAATCCCTGTTTACACTACCATATTTTCATACCCGAACTTAGTGTTTATTTTGTCATTTTACTATTTCTACATATTTAATCCCTGATTGCATAAACAATTATTCATCACATTAGTTTTTATCCAAACATCCTGTCTATTTTGTTATTTCTACATTTCTAACCCCTAATTGCACAATGTCAGTCTTCTTAGTTATTATAATGCTACTTTGTTTGTTTTATCCATCCCCCTGTTTATTATGGCATTCTTTTTCCCAATATATATATATATATATATATATATATATATATATATAGAGAGAGAGAGAGAGAGAGAGAGAGAGAAGAGAGAGTAATCAGCTTGTTTTGTCTGGTCTTTAGTGATGATGACCGAATAAGCTTACAATAACGGTGGCTGACCTACATTCGCGCAAGACAGAAAGAATTAATCATAACACATACTGATACAAAGGCTCATAAACATAATTCTAGCAAAGATAAAACCCAAGATTTGGATACGATACGTCGACGACACATTTGTAATAATCAAAAGAAACGAGTTAGATAAACTCAAGATAAAACTCAAAACTTAATAAGCAACTTCTTCAACGACATCAAATTCACAAGAGAAGAGGAATCCAAGAACCCAATCCCATTTTCGGACGCCTTAGTCAAGCGAACAACCACAGGGGAATTAGAAACTCAAGTTTATAGAAAATCAACCCACACAGACCAAATACTGAATTACAACAGCAACAATCCAATAACACACAGAAGGAATTGCATACAAACACTATTCAAGAGGGCAAGGACTCATTGGAGCCCTCCCACCTTAAAGAAAATTGAAGAAAAATATCTCATGGACGTCTTCCAAAAGAATGGATATCCACGGAATTTCATCAAAATACATATACCCCAAAACCAACCTATCAAACCAAAAGCCTCAAAGGAAAGCGAAAAGAAAATCGCCTTACCAAATATAAAGGATATCTCAGAAATCACTAGAAGACTCTTCAAACCTCTAAGAATTGACGTCGTACACAAACCAACAAAGTCACTTCACTCAATTCTATGTCAACCAAAAGACTCAACAGCGAAAAACACTAAATTGGCCAAAGTGGACGTCCCCTTCGTCTTCGTATCCACGAACATAAGCTAGCCGTCAAAAGACATGATATCCACTCCCTCATTTCACTACACACAGACAACCATGGACATCAATTCGACTGGGACAACGTTCAAATATTAGACAAAGGAAATAACAAGAATGCTAGGGAATTTTTAGAAGCTTGGCCTGGTATTCCAGCGAATCATCAATCAATAGACACTTCGAGATAGACAAAATTTATCAACCGATAAGAAAGAAACCTCACACACAAAGGGTCAAAATTCAAGTCAAAGAAACAATCAGTACAAATACAAGTAGCCTAGAGGGTGTGAAAACACACAAAAACAACCAATCACGTCCAAGGTCACCAGGAGAGATGATTAATAAACTCGTGGAGAAATCTAAAAGCTCACTTTAAATTGAAGTATGCGCTGAAGATGTTGCCTGGTAGGGCGATGAGAGCTTCGCAAATTAACTACTCAGCTCAGAGGAACAAAACCACTACAACACCACCACCAACACAACCAAAGTTCTATGTCGAAAACAGACAGACAACACAACCACCTCAAAAACATAGATTTCATATTTATTTACAATTATCACCTTGTAGTTTTCAAATCTAGAGAAGACTGATATTCATTCAAACATACAGTGTTAAGCTTTTTGGTAGACTCAAAGATAGATAAGATGATATGCATTACGTTTTAGAGACCAATTAAAATACTTAGTTTACTCTTATGCGATGTTAATTATCGCCAGTTAAGTAACAGCATCCTTAAAGGCTGTTGCATGTTTCCTTTCAAACTCAAAAAATATGCCTTGCTTGAAAGATGACAACAAGCTGGCAACCTAGAACAAGGGCTTCCTACCAACTGTCTCTAAAAAGGTAACTGCAACTGCTCACTTGTTGATTTTTTTTCTACACAATCCCGAAAGTCTGCTAATATTGCATAACCTAACATAATATTCGAAGCTAAAAAAAATTGATAAACGATACTGACAAAAGATTAAAAATATTAAATTTCTCTAGTTCTATCTACACCTACTCCTGAAGTAAAAACTGGTATACAAAACTTAAAGGGAGCATTTCCCATAAACGAAGCTAAGGATACAGGAGTTTATGAAATACTTGCATATAATTAGGAATAATATTACTGGAAACAGTTCCTTACCCGTACTTGCATACGACTTCTGGCCATGTCTAATGGATATATTACACATTTAGCACCTACTCCTGCAATTCCACCAGCGACAAAACTTTGAATAGCACCTGAGCCAAACACAAAAGATACTAAAATAATTATTACAGAAATATAAGATGAAAGACAATATATATATATATATATATATATATATATATATATATATATATATATATATATATATCAGTTGACTCACATTTCTTACAAGCTATCTTTCCTCGGCTGTATATAAATATTTCTCCTTCAGTTAGGGATATTGGTAACCCTCTCCCCCTGCCCAGTTTATTTTTACACTTTCCGTTGAAACTTTTATACAGAAAACTATGGTATAGCTGCGATTCTAAAATGACCTATTCTGTTAGTACCCCAATTCTAAGTGTGTATATGTGTACAATCTCTAAAATAAACAATGGCTTATAAGACCAGTCTATACCACTCATACATCAGTGGAGATCCATGCAACTTTCTAAATGTTCAGTAGGCTTACAGACTCTTAGTTGCATCATCCAACTTAACTAATCTATGGTGGCATGCAACAAATTGGGAAATGACACAAAAGACAAATTCAAGAGGAAAATGAAAAACTTACCAACTGGATGAGAAACACCGTGGACTTGTGATGACTTATCGGGATTTAAATGGTCTCTTAAAAGATCAACCGTTTGATTAAATGCATGATATATTGCAAAATGCATTCCAGTTTGTGGAGTGAGTAGTAGAAGAGAAGGAACAAGTCCACGAAAAAATCCTTGAGGACCTTCACGGGTTATTATACAAACAGCAGCATGTGAAAGACTTCTAAATAATGTTTAAATGAGATAATATTTATTTTTACTGTTTCTAATCAATCCGTTTCTTATTAACAATTAAAAGGAACACAAAGTACATTTAGAAGATCAAATCGTTTATAGTGAATACTATTGAAATAATGAAAAGCACCACACTGGACTATGAATTCTACAACATATTACTCTGGTTATTATTTATAAATGAGTTTTGGAAACTAGCTGAACTCTGAATGGAATTGAGCAGATAAAATGCTTATATGTACCTGTTGTCCACATCTGCCAGCAGCCAAGAGTAGATAATATTCAATTATAAGTCTTTCTAAGTTACGTCACTTCTTCGTAAAATAAATACCAAATAGGATGAAGTAAGGTTAACTTCATGCCACTTTATGATGAAAGTGAGGAGTTGAAGGACTTCAGTTTCCTACAGTCGAATAGCAATTCTATAAAATTATTCGTATTAATATTTGCCAGTTATCTAGTTTTTACTACCGATAACTGCTCTCCTTGAACAATGGTCGATCCTGAATACTGCAATGATCCGAAGGACTATACTGGCGGAAACGGATGTTCCTGCAGATTACTCCATACCATAAAAATCTGTAAGATACAAGTTAGCCTAAGAATAGTTTTAATCACACAATAATGTGTATACTTTGTAGTCAGGCTTTGAGGAAAAAGTCATGCTATCATTATTGTAAGAGAAGTTAAGCAATGTGGTAAAATATTTATTCATCTATTTATATCAAATAAACTTATCTAATACGGAAGAAAATATGTTATCTTATATTAGGGCTGTAACATCAGTACGGTGTTTCCACAAGTAACTAGAAAAGAAGCCATTCTACCCTAGTGCTCAATGGTCACCCATAAGAATTTTGTATTGGAGCTTTGAGTACCCGAAAATTACATCAGTGGGATAACAGGCTCAAGTATCCAAAACCTTGACCAACCAACATTTGTACAGGAGACTATATATATACATATATATGCTTAACCTATCTTAGTTGTTATAGGTTATTAACTTAGCTGGCTCTGCTACTTTTCTTACCTTCTACTGCTATGCTAGAAGGTGTATGTAAAAACATCAGAAATGGCGCTGTTTTATAACGAAATATTAAATGAATACAACTGATAGACACATATACGACATATAAACTACAGTTCATTCATAAACCTGATCCATAATCAAAAAATACGATTCTCCAAATGCATAAAATGTCTAACACTTCAACTAGCATTTTCTTTGGGTGCATTGCAGAATGTGGGACAGTGATCTGCAGTCTGCCCCAAAGATTTTGCACCCTAATTACTTTTGACTAATTTTTTTCGAAGTTGAAAATTAGGCCATGATGTAAACTAATTATTTTACATTTAACAGGTGCGGTAATCTCACATTCTTCATAATAATTATTTGTTAAAATAAATAAATACGGTTTTGTTAGGAAGATGAAGCGCTACGACGTACTTCAGGAAACTCACTTATATATTTTCGGTTCTCCTTGAGCTATGAAACGAGTGCGCAAAAGATCAAAGGGCTGACTAAAAGCAGTTGCTACAGCTCCCGCTCCACAACCGCATACAAAATTACTTACATGTTTGTAAGTCACAGACAAACTGGAAGTTTTGTCATTCGATATAGTAACACTGTTGATTTCTTGCAACCACGATGACAATACTTCAAAGGAGAGAAATTGAGTACTGGTGAACATCACTGATTGCATTTGTGCAGAGAGATGACCCTTCCAAAAGGCTGAGACACCTTCTTCTCTATAAATACACTTGACAGCTTGCATAAGACCTTGATACTTGCTTGCAGTGGAAACTTTAATGGGCTCCATTTGTAGCTACTTACAGGTAAATACGTTAAAAATCATACCTGAAAACGTGTTTTTAAAACGTCAAGTGGTTGCACCGTAGCTCTAGCAACAAAGCCACTGATGACTCCGGAAACGAAAAATTCAACTTTGCTCAAGCCGGTTTTCTCTTGAACCATCACTCAGCGGTCGTACAATCTTTATAAATTTCAGAAAATTGTAGAATGACGATTGGTTGTGTTATTCAGTAAAACGTTATATTCATTGCAGAACGAAAAAAGGCATCTTAATGTATGCATAAACCACAAGCTATAGGTGATATAGTAAATATATGGCCTGCTGACAAAACTAAGTGATACAGCCAGAATTGTTAGCCGGAGTATCTAGATGGAAATTTTACTTTTCTTAAATGAAAACGCATGAGCTGATATCACTAAAGCTTAATGACTTTGGTCTTAATCTCTGTGCTTTTGAGTTTTACCTATGCAGTGTTCTACATGACGTTTGACATATGTTGCATAGAATACTTGGAACATACCCTTGTCTAATCGTTTGAAAGCCCTTCGAAGTTCCCATAGCATTTGAAAAACCTTAGCTGCGGCTCTATTACAATTTACCGTTGTTTTTAAGTCCAGGTTTACAATAATTCTTAAGTCTTTTTGTGCGCTAACATCTGCCAGTACTGTTCCCCAGGGAGTACGACGTGTAAGACTTCTGATTTAGGTGCATTACCGCGCTTTTCTTGGAATTAATTCCTAGACTCCCGAGAAGAGAAAAGTAAAAGGTCCACAAAACTATGTTATTCACAAAACCACCAGATTATCAAGTGCTAATAATGAACAGGCGAGATTGCTGGGTATTATAGGGGGACAGTGTGTGGAATATTACAGAAATGATCTGCGGAACACAACAGGTAGGGTCAGTACTGACCCTACCTGTTGTAAATATACGTATATTTACTTAAAAGACCTTTCTGTTGATTATTGACAGTCAGACGAAAAGAACGGTGAAAAGATTCACCTTAATAGATCTATTGATCTATCTAATCCCCAGCATTATGATATTATAATTTTATAATATTATAATTTACCCAGCATATGCTGGGGAAATCTAGAGCTTTTTCAGTTTGGGAGCTTTTGAGGAGATACTCGGGAATATTCCAGATTTTGGATAAAACTGATGCATTTTCCCACAATTTTGAACTTTATAGATCCGAAAACCTTGAAAATGCCACAAAATATGTTTTTTTGTTTCGCTGACACTTTCACAAATGTCCTAAAATTACCACATACACACCACAAAAATACCCCTATATTCTTCACGTAGATATTAACGAACTGCAAACTAAAGTGGATCTGCATAAGAGCCATCTCGAGAAATTGTTAGCACCGCGAAACTGCAAACGATGTAACGCAGTTATTCAAATTATCGATGTCATCGGCTGTCCAGTTGCTGAGTTCAAGCGTTGGTTCCAATATCCTGAGTAGTTCTCACGAGTAAGTATAAAGCAAATTGATTTCTTTGCACTCCCTTCTTAGTTTTAAGGTAATGGTTCCTTATTTTCAGTAAACTGCTGCGTAGTTCGTCCGGCGACTTGATGGTCGTAGTTTGGTTGGCTCCGAAAGGAATGACGCAGCGACTGATCATATATGATTTGTGGTATGTCATATTTTAAGATCGTGTAGCTGCTGTGAAGGGACCTGATCTTTTCAACAGTCATTCGTTCGGTGTGATCGAAAAGAGGGACAATAATCTCTCTTTCGACTACCCTGAAGACTGGACACCAAGAGAAGCCTACTAGTAATTTCGTGACAGTACCAATTCTATTGATAATAGATAAAGAACAATGCATAACCCAGGTGTTGATCGCACATTTGTTAGCAGACGTTTTCGAATAAGATAAAATCCATTGATAGAATAAATATAAGACCTCGTATTTTTTCTATTCCTTTACTTTCCCTGTGGAACACAGGGCTCCAATCTACAGGCTTTAAGTTTGGGTAACAGTGCTGCTTACTTTTACTGGATGGGTTGCTAGCCTCGTGCCTAACCTTCCCTGCCAGCCCGACTGCTGGCTAAGCGAGATAAAGGGGTGAGTCGATGGGAGTCGAAACCCGAAATACATGCTTGGTTGACGAGCATTCTATCGCTGTGCCACCGAATCACAGAATTTCATATAAGTTTTCATATTTAGATTCAAAATGGTTCGATAAAGGAACATTTTGTCATAGTTTTTAGCTCCAAATTACTCAACCCTAAACCGGAGCTCATTGTTTTCTTGGGCAGAGATATCTGCCCGAATGTGACAATGACATGAAGGTAGCAGCTTCGAGGTGAAGAGATACGTAGATTCCGCATGCTCCACGTTGTGTCACAGAATTATACTACTTACTCGCCAGAGCAAAAAAGCTGTATATTTCCTCACTTTAAAATTTATTTCATCTAATAATCCATCCAATATATCAGAGCAAACACCAACAGTTACCATATATTGCAACCAGATCTGACTATGTTTATTATGCTCCCTTTGTAACAACAGAAGACACGGGCCGGCAACAGATCGTTTTATTGTGGAAATCAACACGTATTTATGCATATTTCACATACATTATTATAGATAATTCAAGTAAACAAACGCGGTCTTCTGAATAGTTGTTTCTCAGAAGTTAAGCAGACAAACACAGACTTCTGACTGGTTGTTTCGGGTAATCATCGAAAAGTAGAACCATCTATCTGCGAATCATATTTGCCCACGTTAAGATTGCTGTGATTGGTTGTTGAATCAGATTTGTTCATATTTTCTCAAGGCCAATATTAGTGACCTAGACATTGACGTAGATTGATGTCTACCAATTGGCTAGCAGCCTGCTCTCACCAAACCTTGACATTTTAATCTGATTAGTGTAAGTCGAAGTGTCAAATGGATATGGATAAGCTGGAAAATCGTTGTCCCTAAGATAACATTCAGACGATGAATAACACAATGCCAATCGAACAAATGGGGGGAAAATACTGTTCAAGAGCGGGATAAGGATGGAATCTATACAGATTAATTAATTGGGATTAGTGAACACCTACAATTAAAAATAATACACAGAATTTGAATAACTTTCTCCAAATATGAAGTGTGAATTCCGGACTACACCAGCCAACCATCAACGAGTATACCAGTTGAACTATCCAAAAACAGGAAACAAATTAATAGTAATGTCAATCACGTATCAAAACCAAAACACTGATTGGCTACTCGAAAATTCTTTATACTAACACCAACATATGAGCAGCATAAAAACAAATATTACAATAATAAATCACGATATTACTTCTGACGGTTTTTGATCTTCTTTCTGAACAGCGACCGATGAGACGATGACTGGTGTATTGATGCCTGCGCGAAAATTGGGGAAGTTGGTTTTGAGTTAAAGACCATGAATTGATCGTTCAAACTTCACCTACATTGACACTCCCCGGCAAAAAACGGACCATCCCTTTTTCCCATCACGACCAATACACGTTGACTTGGATGCCATTGCGAGAACCTAGGTGTCAATGGAGTTGAAGATTGAACGATCAATTCTTGGTTGTTTGCTCAAAATCAACTTCCCCAATTTTCGCGGAGGCATCAATACGACAGTCATCGTCTCATCGGTCGCTGTTCAGAAAGAAGTCAGGAGACAACCATCAGAAACCTAAATAGAAATATATTTTATAAGCTGATGATACAATAAAGAATTCCCAAGCGGCCAGTCGGTGTTTTGGATTTTTCGTCCGTTATTACTAAGCGTTTCTGAAAAACTGCAAGGAACAGCGTGGGCCCGAGCGTATCAAGAGCTGGGCATTAACGGTTTATGAGACGTGACTGACAGTTTCTGATGGTAGAAACAGATCTGGCGGATTCAGACAGTTAGTGAAAGTTTGGATAGTCGCCGTTCATTTTTCCTGGTGCCGGTCAAGTCCTCTTTGAACAAGCAATATCTGGAACTTTTTTGAATTGGGTCAAGTTCAACAATGCCTGGGTCAAAGAAGGGACAGAGTGTCTTGGTTGCAAACAGGAAAGTAAGTCATGGTGACTTGTCTGTTAGTTGTAACGATGTGTCTGGTGTTAAGCATGACATGGTTGATGTTACTGTTTCGCCGTTCAGGGATAATAGGAACATCAAACTCCCTAAATTTGAACCACGGTGTTTCGATGGAAACAAAAAAATATTTACAATTTGTAAAGGAGTTTGAGATCATGTTGAGTAGTTTTCGATTAAGTGATGAATTGAAATTGATGTATTTGATGAGGTGTTGCACTGGAGATGCTGCAAGAGCTATACAGTGCTGTAAGTTTATGAAGCCAAAAGAGGGCTACTACGAGGCTATGAGCATATTACGTCAAAGGTTTGGAAGACCTTCGATGATTGCAGGGAAATTATTCGAGGCTGTTAGGGGTAATGGTGGTCAATTACAGGATGACTCCCAGGCACTCACTGAGTTTTTAGATAATTTGCTGATTTACAAGAATGGAATGATTTCGATGAATCGCATGAGTGACCTCAACTCGTGTTTTATACTAGAAGTAATAGCAAGACGTCTACCTACTCGACTGCAAAGGAAGTGGGTGAAGATGAGCTCCCGTATGGAGGATGAGGGTATCGAGCCAAAGTTTGATGATATCCTGAAACTGGTAAATACTAGTGTCAATGAATCTATGAGCAAGTTTTCCAGTCTGTTAGATCTCACCCCTAGAATAAAGCAGTCTGAGGGTAAAACGCACTCATTGATGACGAATAAGCCTCAGAGAGGTGGATATCGAGAAGACTCCATGATGTCTAGTAATGCATATAGACCTAGTGAGTGTAACAGGTTTCGTAGCACATGCTCAACAAATAAGTTGCAAGATGCAAGACAAACACGGTTGTGTTGTAGACGTTTGCAAGAAGTGCATACAGAAGTGAACTGTGAACCAGTGAGCAAGTTCAGTGATAAGCTAAATGTAAATTCCAGGTCTGACTCCGAATTGTGTGACGTTAACGGTGCGGTGAAGAAGTATGTAGTTGCAACTGGTAAGCCATTGTTGAATAGAGTGTCACAGAATAGAGTTATTGTTTCGGAGTGCAGTTCTGACTCGACAAGATTACGAAGTATTACTAGTCAGAGTGAAGATATAAAACATTTAAGGATTTGTGAGGAGGAACCAAAATTGTCTACTTTTGTTACTAAAGAGTTTGAAAATGATGAAGTTGACGGTAAAGTGAATATTTGTGGTAATGATCATGATAGTGCAGATTTGTCTTTGGTTGATCATGATGAAATGGAGGGAATGCCTACTACCGCTAAGTTAAATAAAGGTTCTGTAGAACTTGAACGTGAAGCAGAAATAAATGCAGGTGCAGTTGCAGAAGGAATGCGTACTTTTGAGACCGTCAGTGTGATTGATCAGCATGTAGCCCACCTATCATCAGATGCTAGTGCTAAACCTGAGCAGATAGAAAAGACAGCAGTGGTGGTGGTCTTGCAGGTAGACAAACTTCTGAAAGCCGAACAACAACAGCTTTTGATCCACCGCTAGCTTTATCAACTGATATCAATCAGTCGTCGTTGGTGCTGTCATCCACAATGAAAAAGACGCCCATCAACTCAAGTATCTTGTCCAATGACTATGCTAGTATCAGTTCGTTTGAAAGGACGAATATCAGTGGTCAGTTTAGTGAGGTTAAGCGAAGTGTAAACGAGAGAGTAATTGTTAAATTGACTTGCATGAATAAAGGCATTTCTAGTTTCAAGTTACTATTTGAATGTTATTAACTTTGGTGTAAATAACTCTGTTTTTACACTCAGACAGTGCCTCGGAGTCATCTTGTAATTGATCACCATTACCTTTAACAGCCTTGAATACGTTCCTTACAATCATCGAAGGTCTTCCGAATCTTTGACGCAGTATACTCATAGTCTCAGAGTATCCTTCGAACTTACAGCACTGGATAGCTCTTGAAGCAACTCCAGTGCAGTACCTCATCAAATACATCAGCTTCATTTCATCATTTATTGGAAGCCCACTCAACATGATTTCAAACTCCTTTACAAAGTGCAAATGGTCAGCTGGGTTTTCGTCGAAACACCGAGGTTCGTACTTAGGAAGCTTGATATCTCTAACATTAACATCAACCATATCATGCTTAACATCAAACACATCGTTACATGTAACAGACAAGTCAACATGACTTACTTTCCTGTTTGCATCCGAGACGCTCTGTCCCTTCTTTGACCCAGGCATGATTGAACTTGACCGAAATTCCAGAAAGTTCCAGATAACGCTTGCTCAAAGAAGACTTGGTTGGCACCAGGAAAGACGGACGGAGACTATCCAAACGTGAGAAAACTCTCAACAACCGTCAGAAAATGCCAATCACGTGTCAAAACCGTTAATGCCCAGCTCCTGCTACGCCGGGCCTCTCGCTGTCCCTCGAAGCCTTTCAGAAACCCTTAGTACTAACGGACGCAAAAACCAAAACACCGATTGGCGACTCGAGAATTCTTTATTGTAACTCGAACATATGAGCAGCATAATAACTAAGGTCTATGAACAAATATTACAATAATAAACCACGATATTACTTCTGACGGTTTTTGATCTTCTTTCTGAACAGCGACCGATGAGACGATGACTGGTGTATTGATGCCTGCGCGAAAATTGGGGAAGTTGGTTTTGAGTTAAAGACCATGAATTGATCGTTCAAACTTCACCTACATTGACACTCCCCGGCAAAAAAGGGACCATTCTTTTTTCCCATCACGACCAATACACGTTGACTTGGATGCCATTGCGAGAACCATGGTCACACAGACAGAGCTGAAATGGAAAACAAACAGAAAAGCCAACACATCACAGACATACCTACAGCACAATCTCATACATTGATGACGACCTACACCTTCGAATTAAAGGTATCTACTTGACATCTTGCAACACAATAGCCACTTGCTAGATTGACTCTTGCAGAATGCAACGTGACCATAGCACCAACCCATGATACTCTACACACATCCTCTTATCTACTCACTACCAATTACCATTGAAATCGCTTGTCACTCATTCTGCCTCAGTTCTAGTAGCGGTGACGCATGCGAGCCTCAGTCGTTTACACTCTTTCTCCCCGGCGTGTCGGACCGCAGCTAACAATTATCTCCGTGTGCGTTTCATTCTCAGCAATAGCCTAGCCTTCCCGGCGTATATGACCCATCTGCTGTCTCTAACATCAATCAATTCATTCACGGATGTAGAAGACTCGAAACAACTTCAGAAGTAATCACGACGAAAATTTAACAAAATTATGCAATAAAAACAAGGCACGAATACAACGAGTAAACACAACTGATCCAAAATCACAAATTGCGAAGACACACCACACGTATACACAAACAGTACAAATAACCCCGCGGATCATGTCTTGGTGGAATTATTTTGAAGAATTGGAGGACTTACACCAGTACGCCTGCAACCTTTCTCAGTTTGACGCCCTAGGTTGGAAAATCGTCGCAGAGTTCATTTGCTGATTTCCTTCTATGAGCTATATCCTCAAATATGAACGATAACACGCCCATGTCGTTGTATCGTCGAATGTAGATGACTGACAAACACACGACTTATCTGATCAACCAAGCGTAGAAACAGAGTAATTTACACCAGAGATAATAGCATTCAAATAGTAACTTGTAACTTGAGAAACCTCTATTCATGCAAGCCAATTTAACTATTACCCTCTCGTACGCACTTGGCTTATCCTCACTAAACTGACCAATATTTTTCGTCTTTTCAAATGGACCAATACTATAAAGGTCATTGCACAAGATACTTGAGTTGATGGGCGTCTTTTTCATTGTGGATGAAAACACCAATGACGACTGATTGATACCAGTTGATGAAATTAGCAGTGGATCAAAAGCTGTTGTTATTCAAGTGATGGTTTGTAGGGATTTGATTCGTTTCAGGATTTATCATGAGCTGATATTAGATAATAATAATAATAATGATTTACTTTATTCCAAAAACAGTACTTGTGATACAGAATGGAATTTTCAGCATTAATCACAATATTGCATCTAATTTCCTCAAATTATAAATAAAATTAATCACACAGAAAATTGTTCACATTTACAATAGAGGTAGTGTCAAAAACATGCAGCATATAAAATGGAAATAGCAATAATAATGATAACAGCTAGGGTAATAATAATAATACAAGTGAAAATTGCCGTTGGCTTGTGCCACACAGTATTGTCAATGTGGTATGGAAATCCTAACATGTTTAAAAATATTGAATATAATGTTCTCTTTACATGATGGTGATGGTGAGGGGAAAAACAAAGATTACAGCCGTCATGGAGATAAGTTGGTGTTTGCAATTATGACAGTAAAACAGAGAATTAACAGGACCATAAATATAATAGAAGTAATAAAAGTAAAACTTGAAGGTATGTAAGGATGGATGGAGGAAATTCTTTATTTACTAGATGAAAGAAGGTTAGTTAATTCTTGCCTGACACTATTTTCATCACATAAAATACATGCCAAGTATGGTATCATAGACTTCTTATACTTAGACGTGCGAGCATACAGTTTTCTGAAGTTACTCCTTGTTCTACCTGCGGAGATGCAAGGTGAAAGCTGAGGGTAAAGCGGATGCTCCAAGTCAGACAAAATCCCATTAGCAAATTTATTGCACGATGTCAATGGAGTTGAAGATTGAACGATCAATTCTTGGTTGTTTGCTCAAAATCAACTTCCCCGATTTTCGCGGAGGCATCAATACGACAGTCATCGTCTCATCGGTCGCTGTTCAGAAAGAAGTGTAAAACATCGTCAGAAGTAATATAACGATTTATTATTGTAATATTTGTTTACAGACCTTAGTTTGCTTAGTTCGCTTATTCCTTTTATATGTTGGTGTAACAATAAACAAATCTAAAGCGGCAGATCAGTGTTTTGGTTTTTGCGTCCGTTATAACTAAGCGTTTCTGAGAAATCTTCGAAGAACAGCGTGGGCCCGAGCGTAGCGAGAGCTGGGCATTAACGGTTTATGAGACGTGACTGACAGTTTCTGATGGTAGAAACAGATCTGGCGGATTGAAACAGTTGGTGAAAGTTTGGATAGTCGCCGTTCATTTTTCCTGGTGCCGGTCAAGTCCTCTTTGAACAAGCAATATCTGGAACTTTTTTGAATTGGGTCAAGTTCAACAATGCCTGGGTCAAAGAAGGGACAGAGTGTCTTGGATGCAAACAGGAAAGTAAGTCATGGTGACTTGTCTGTTAATTGTAACGATGTGTCTGATGTTAAGCATGACATGGTTGATGTTACTGTTTCGCCGTTCAGGGATAATAGGAACATCAAACTCCCTAAATTTGAACCACGATGTTTTGATGGAAACCCGGCTGATTATTTACAATTTGTAAAGGAGTTTGAGATCATGTTGAGTGGTTTTTTATTAAATGATGAATTGAAGTTAATGTATTTGATGAGATATTGCACTGGAGATGCTGCAAGAGCTATACAGTGCTGTAAGTTTATGAAGCCAAAAGAGGGCTACGATGAGGCTATGAGCATATTACGTCAAAGGTTTGGAAGACCTTCGATGATTGCAGGGAAATTATTCGAGGCTGTTAAGGGTAATGGTGGTCAATTACAGGATGACTCCCAGGCACTCACTGAGTTTTTAGATAATTTGCTAATTTACAAGAATGGAATGATTTCGATGAATCGCATGAGTGACCTCAACTCGAGTTTTATACTAGAAGTAATAGCAAGACGTCTACCTACTCGACTGCAAAGGAAGTGGGTGAAGATGAGCTCCCGTATGGAGGATGAGGGTATCGAGCCAAAGTTTGATGATATCCTGAAACTGGTAAATACTAGTGTCAATCAATCTATGAGCAAGTTTTCCAGTCTGTTAGATCTCACCCCTAGAATAGAGCAGTCTGAGGGTAAAACGCACTCATTGATGACGAATAAGCCTCAGAGAGGTGGATATCGAGAAGACTCCATGATGTCTAGTAATGCATATAGACCTAGTGAGTGTAACAGGTTTCGTAGTACATCCTCAACAGATAAGTTACAAGATGCAAGACAAACACGGTTGTGTTGTACACGTTTGCAAGAGGTGCATACAGAAGTGAACTGTGAACCAGTGAGCAAGTTCAGTGATAAGCTAAATGTAAACTCCAGGTCTGACTCCGAATTGTGTGACGATAACGGTGCGGTGAAGAAGTCTGTAGTTGCAACTGGTAAGCCATTGTTGAATAGAGTGTCACAGAATAGAGTTACTGCTTCAGAGTGGAGTTCTGACTCCAAAAGTTTACAAGGTATTACTAGTCAGAGTGAAGATATAAAACCTTTTATGATTTGCGAGGAGGAACCAAAATTGTCTACTTCTGTTATTAAAGAGTTTGAAAATGATGAAGTTGACGGTAAAGTGAATATTCGTGATAATGATCATGATACTTCACAGTTGTCTTTGGTTGATCATGATGAGATGAGGGATATGCCTACTACTGCTAAGTTAAATAAAGGTTCTGTACAACTACAACGTGAAGTAGAATTGAACGCAGATGCAGTTCCAAATGGTGTGCATACTTGTGAGACAGTCAGTGTAATTGATCAGCGTGTAGCCCACCTATCATCAGATGATAGTGCTAAACCCGAACTAGTAGTGAAAGACAGCAGTGGTGGTAATCTTGCAGTTGGACAACTATCTGAGAGCCGAACAAGAACAGCTTCTGATCCACCACTAAGTTCATCACCTTGTGTCACTCAGTCATCGTTGGTGCTGTCATCCACAATGAAACAGACACCCATCAACTCAAGTATCTTGTGCAATGACTATGGTAGTATCAGTTCGTTTGAAAGGACGAATATCAATGGTCAGTTTAGTGTGGATAAGCCAAGTGTAAAGGAGAGAGTTATTGTTAAATTGACTTGCACGAATAAAGGCATTTCTAGTTTCAAGTTACTATTTGAATGTTATTATCTTTGGTGTAAATTACTCTGTTTCTATACTTGGTTGATGAGATATGTCGTGTGTTTGTTGGTCATCTATATTCTACGATACAATGACATGGGCGTGTTGCCGTTCAGATTTGAGGATATAGCTGATAGAAGGAAGTTAGCAAATGAACTCTGCGACGATTTTCCAACCTAGGGCGTCAACCTGAGAAGGGTTGTAGGCGTACTGCTGTAAGTCCTACAGTTCTTCAAAGGGTAGCGCATCAATGAGCAGTCCAATGTGCTTGGTGTGTGATTTTGTACATATGTTCATATTGTATATACTGAATTGATATCATCTGTCATCTAGCTGTTGGTAATTCTGTTTGTGTCCGGACGACTTCCACTTGGATCATCAACCTGAGAAGGAATGTAGGCGTACTGCTGTAAGTCCTACGGTTCTTCAAGGGTAGTTTGTCGTGTCAGAATCCACAACATTTGATGTGTTGATTGTACATATGTTTGTGTTAAATAGTTGTGTGAGTTCCAATTGATGTAATTGTTGGTTAATCTTGTTTGTGTCTGGACATTCCACAACTTACAATCGTCAACCTGTGAAGGGTTGCAGGCGTACTGGTGTAAGTCCTCCAATTCTTCAAAATAATTCCACCAAGACATGATCCGCGAGGTTATTTGTACTGTTTGTGTATACGTGTGGTGTGTCTTCGCAATTTGTGATTTTGGATCAGTTGTGTTTACTCGTTGTTTTCGTGCCTTGTTTTTATTGCATAATTTTGTTAAAATTTTCGTCGTGATTACTTCTGAAGTTGTTTCGAGTCTTCTACATCCGTGAATGAATTGATTGATGTTAGAGACAGCAGATGGGTCGTATACGCCGGGGAGGCTAGGCTATTGCTGAGAATGAAACGCACACGGAGATAATTGTTAGCTGCGGTCCGACACGCCGGGGAGAAAGAGTGTAAACGACTGAGGCTCGCATGCGTCACCGCTACTAGAACTGAGGCAGAATGAGTGACAAGCGATTTCAATGGTAATTGGTAGTGAGTAATTAAGAGGATGTGCGTAGAGTATCGTGAGGTCCTGCCATGGTCACTTTGCATTCTGCAAGAGTCATTCTAGCAAGTGGCGATTGTGTTGCAAGATGTCAAGAGGAGGTCTCTGTCTGGAGGCGCAGGTCGTCAGCGATGTGTGAGATTGTGCTGTGGGTATGCTTGTGGTGTGTTGGCTTTTCTGTTTGTTTTCCATTTCAGCTCTGTCCGTGTGACCCAGGTTCTCGCAATGGCATCCAAGTCAACGTGCATTGGTCGTGAAGGAAAAAAGGGTTGGATCCCTTTTTTGCCGGGGAGTGTCAATGGAGTTGAAGATTGAACGATCAATTCTTGGTTGTTTGCTCAAAATCAACTTCCCCGATTTTCGCGGAGGCATCAATACGACAGTCATCGTCTCATCGGTCGCTGTTCAGAAAGAAGTGTAAAATATCGTCAGAAGTAATATAACGATTTATTATTGTAATATTTGTTTACAGACCTTAGTTTGCTTAGTTCGCTTATTCCTTTTATATGTTGGTGTAACAATAAACAAATCTAAAGCGGCAGATCAGTGTTTTGGTTTTTGCGTCCGTTATAACTAAGCGTTTCTGAGAAATCTTCGAAGAACAGCGTGGGCCCGAGCGTATCAAGAGCTGGGCATTAACGGTTTATGAGACGTGATTGACACACGAATTCAAATGCCTATCGACAACGACGTTAACTATGTGGTCCACTGGGACACCACTCACTCTACTGACAGTCTTCAGTATTCTACGAATTGTGACATAGTCTTTTTTAAGCAAACCAGGAAAGAATAAGGGTGAGCAATAAAGATGAATAGGTAGGATTCAGGAGTTTACGAACTGTAGGATGAGGGGTTGAGTTATACCCGAGTGTCTTAACTTCTTAATGTAAAATGTCAAGCGGAATATTTTACTGGAGATTGCTAAGACATGGGAAGACCAGGAGAGATCAGAAGAAAGAATGAGTCCAAGATACTTAATTTCTGATTTGATTCCTATATCATTGTCGTCAATTTTACAAGTGTCATGAGAATCGATGACTTCTTTTAACTGTCGTTTACATCTTAAGCTGAAATCAACAGTTTGACACTTAGAAGGATTCAGTTTAAGACCGTTAGACTCAGACCATTTGCTGACTTCCGATAGAAAGCTATTTATTTTAGTACAATCTAGCTGGGAGTTAACAGCCATTGAAACCGTTAAATCATCAGCACACTTCACAAAGTTTATTTCATCAGAGTGAGGCAAGTCGTGCAAGAAGAAAGAAAAAAGAAAAGGAGAAAGAACAGCGCCTTGAGGGACACCAGCTTCAGTAGGCAATGAAGTGGAAGACTTCCCTTTATACACGGTGTACTGCTTTCTTTCCCAGAAATAGGAATGTAACCAGTCATCAACCCAACATTCTGTTTGACTAGCAGCAAGTTTATTTAATAAGATGTCCCTAGGGACCGAGTCGAAAGCAGCTGTATAGTCTAGGAAGGCAACGCGAACAGCGAACCATTGGAAAATCTGGGAGTACTGGACAGCTGTTTCGTCCTAGTTTGAGACTCTTCAGCAGTACGCACCCACCGAGAATCGAACCCAGGACCTTCCGGTTACAAGGCGAGTTCGTATACCATTGGATCGGGTCCCAGTGGCTAAATGGCATACGAGCTCGCCTTGTAACCGGAAGGTCCTGGGTTCGATTCCCGGTGGGTGCGTACTGCTGAAGAGTCTCAAACTAGGAAGAAACAGCTGTCCAGTACTCCCAGATTTTCCAATGGTTCCCTCTTGTGATGTTAATGCTCTTAATCTGTCTTTTATACGCTCTCCTTCTACTATAACCACTTCTAACGTTACCAATCTTGTAGCTGATAACTTCCAGGACTTCAATACTCTCGATGTTTTGAAATGTCTTAAAACTCTTAAGCCCTCACATAGTCTTGGCCCTGATAGCATACCTGCATATGTTCTAAAACAATGTGCAGATGCTTTATGTTCTCCTCTAACTAATATCCTAAATGCTTCTTTCTCCGAAAACGTTGTACCTGTTCCATGGAAAGACATTAAAATAGTCCCTGTCCCTAAACCTGGAAATAGCAAGAACGTAAAGTTCAGACCCATCGCCATCACTTCCCCGTTTCTAAAGCTCATGGAAAAACTAGTACTTCTTAAACTCGAACCCTCCCTTAAAAGCTTCGAAGACCCCAAACAATTTGCCTACAGACAGGGTAGGAGTACTTTAGACGCTGCAGCCGTCTTACACAACAGTATTGTCTCATCATTAGACAAAGGTGCCAAATATGTCCGCTGCACGTTTCTTGACTTTACTTCTGCTTTCGACTCTGTACCTAGAAGTCTCTTGCTAAATAAGCTCTCCATGACACAAACCGAGTCCTGGGTCACTAACTGGTTGCATTCCTACTTTTCAAACAGAATGCAGTACACCGTATACAAAGGCCAATCCTCCTCTGCTGTGCTCACAGAAGCTGGTGTCCCCCAAGGTGCTGTACTCTCCCCACTTCTCTTTTCATTCTTCCTACATGACCTACCGTCTTCAAATGACATTAACTTTGTCAAATATGCTGATGACCTAACTGTATCTTTACCTGTCAAATGTCAAAGTGACTGCTCTAAACTAAATGGCTTCTTATCAGAAATTAGCCAATGGTCCAAGGAAAACGGTCTAACCTTAAACCCCTCCAAATGCCAAACAGTTAATTTCACCTTTAGGCATAAATCTGACCTAAACAAACTGGTTAGCACTCACGAGGTGTGCAACATAGATGGCAGTGAAATAGAAACCAAGTCGGAAATTAAATACCTAGGCGTCACTCTATCTTCTGATCTTTCCTGGTCGTCTCATATCTTGACGATTTCCAAGAAAATATACCGTCTTACCTTCTACATCAAGAAGTTAAGACATTCTGGTGTAACCCAAGCCTTACTCCTACAATTTGTTAACTCCCGTATTCTGCCTATTATTCTCTATTGCTCCCCCTTAGTCTTTCCTGGGCTATTGAAGAAAGACTATACCTTATTACGTAGGATGTTAAAGGTTGTCAGCAGGGTAAGCAGTTGGCCACTTAGCCAGCTTGTTAACATTCTGGTGGACAGGCACATGGACTCATGTGAAAAATGGGCGAAATCCATTTTATCTGACTCACAACACTCTCTACATTCACAACTCTCCCCATGTATCTCTTCAGGGAAAGCCAGAAGCCTATATAGGAAACTATATGCCCGCACTAGTAAGTACAAAAACTCATCCATACCCTACCTAGCCCGTGTTCTGTGCGATAAAGAATGCATCAGGCATGAAACCTTTAACTTATTAAATAGTCAGTAGAACCAATGGATCTCGTCTTTCCAACTCACATCATTTATAGGTACAACGTTTTCTCGCTCTTCATTCTGTATTTATTTTTGCTATGTGCTGTTTTGTTTCTCTCTTCCTTGCAAAC